GATAGCCCTGCTCAGTTCCAGCCATACCAGCCAGAAAATTGACCAGATCCCTCTGGAATGTCCTTTACTCTGTCCATTCTGAAAAAGAGGGACATGCTAAGAGTAGGCGTTTGTGAATCTATATACCAAAAGGTATTTAAAAAGCAATAGTAAACTAAAAAATTACTAATCCTGCACTGAGGCAAGATGAAAAATTAAACATTCTCAAGTAAATATAGAGAGGAAAGATGGGGGGGGGGAGTATTCCTTATTCCTAAAGTGTTTCATTACAACCTCTTTAGGAGAAGAAGTGGTCTTTAAAATTATGCAAGGCAATTGGCACTGTTCATGCTATCAATACTTGAAAATATGTTCATCATGTCAGTGCACTCAGCTTTTTGCGGAGGGTTTGATTTCAAAAGCATATGGGTAGTTTTCTGGCTATCTGTAAGCCCAAGTAGATCTAACTATCTTATTTAGTTGGAAATAACGCTTCTTTTGAAAGAAGAACTATTCAAAACATGTTAAAGAATAAAAGTACGTTTTCTACACTAGTGCTGTTCTTTAATTGAAAGCACATTTTTTTTGAATCTTAGAGCCTGTTTACATATCCATGCCTTTCACTTTCATTCTGCCTTATATCTGGAAGTATGAGCTGGCCACTGGAAAGCATTATGTTTCAGATAATATGGAAATTCTCTCTATAGTGTTTGAAGGATTACTCATCCTTACAAGTTTTCACTTGATGCTGCTATGGGTTCCATACAGGAGGAAAAAATGGGGGACACAAATTTAGTGCAACAAAAAGAAAATAATCAAGTGATTAATTATCACATGTCACCAACTATTAGAGAAGTAGTACTATTTATAGATGAAATTTTATCAATTCAGTAAGAATATGGTGACAATAAGATAGTAGCTGCTGGTGTGTGCAATGGACTTTGGAACATATTTCGAGAGAAAGTGCCCTTTTTGATCTTATTGCTGTCAGTGTTTATCTTGATTACATGTTAAAGTTAATTTGGGTAATCATCAATAAAATTTAAACGCAAGAACTGACGTGTACAATCTGTTCAGTATACTTTTGCCTGTCTGTAACTTATTGTAAAATAGCTACCTTCCTGGTACATGCTTTGCTTAATTCTGCTGCCTAGTGTCCTTCTGTTCACTCAGCAGGAACAAACTTGAGCCTTGGACCAACTGCTCAGGATTTTCTGAACTGTCTGTGTAGGGACTAGCGGACAACTATGACCCAGCTATTAAGAATAGACTATAGTTCATTACCAAGTACCTAGAATCTAGTTTAAGCATTTAGCAATCTAGTTGGAGCATTAAGAATGGCATATCAGCCCAAACTGTGTAGAAGATCTAGAAGCTGCAGTTTGATGGCACCTTCTCGCTCATCCTGACCTCACTGTTCTTTAATTCATCTGAGATTCTCTTACCCACCCCTGTTCTGCAAACACAGCAATTAGTGCCCTGTTTATGGAGACTGTCTGCTCTAATTTCATTTGTAACTTAAACAATCTGTAAAAGAAGATGCATGCCTATAACATAGGTAACCAAGAAGAAATTTCCATTGTAAAGGAGGTGGGGGAGGGGGTTCATGCCATGAATGAGGAACATTTTTGGCCCTGAGAATCAAATTTTTGGGGGAAGTTCTTGGACTGGGTTCCAGTGGTGGGAGGGGCCAGTGTGGTTAGAGACAAAGTGCTAAAAATACTAGTATAGTTTGGTCTAACATACCAAGTGCCCATAACTAAACCTTAGAAGAGACATTTTGTCCATGGGGGGGGGGGGGGGAAAAACTGTACATGATGGAAAACTACCAGCTGTTCAGTCAGAAAAAGGGTGTGTGTGACTTCTGAGGAATCCTGAATGCTAAGTTAGGACCTCAGAAAAGCTGCCTTCGGCCCTTTGCCCTGAGTTTTCCCACCCTTTGTTCAGGTTAGGCTGTCCAAAGAAAAAGTAAGTTGATGCCTGTTTTCAGAACTATATCTGAAGAGCATACTATCATATAGACTAGTCCAGCCTTCCCCAGCCTATTGCAACAAGTTGAGAGAAGCGGGATTGGATTGGATTGGATTGAAGTTTTGTATGGGTTTGGAGCTTTCTGGATGTTTACTGAAGACTGAAGCGTGGTAAGCAGCTATAAAGATACCTGAGATTCCACTGAGGCTTGGCAAATTGGATTATGACATGTTATGTGTCAAGAAGCAGCAGTCCTGAAGTGAATTCAACTGTATCACTAGTGCTGAGGAAGTTGCGGTAATATAAAACCACTGGAGTAGCTTGGGGGAAGGAAACACATGAGAGGATTCTTTGATAATGTTGGTTGTGTGTATAGCTGGTTCCTTTTCATATTGGCTTGCAGCCCCCTTATTCAGCATATATTTCAAAAGTGCAAAATATTTGGAAATCACCTATATTTTGTCACTGATACAAACAAACAAACTTCTATTGTATTAATAGTGATAAAGAACAGTCCAGTTGCAAATAAGGTAACTTTGCTGCTTTAATTGTTCTCAGTATTGAAGTATCACAAGTGGATACACTTTTCTGTCTCATAAATTAACCAAGCAGTTGCACAGAGGCAGCTGTTCTTAAAAATCAATCCTCTCCCCAAGGAAAATACAGTGAATGATACATGAATCAAATTGAAGTGGACTGTATGAGTATTCTTTTTATCTTATTCTGAACTATGGGAGTAAGCACAAACACAGGAAAGGGAGTTCCAGTAGAGAAGCACAAGGTATAGCTGGAGTAAGAGGGAAGGATTCATTTCATGTTGCAACTTATCCAGCACCTAAGTTTTGTGTATATAATCATCCAGTGCTATAGGTTTATCTCATTTGCAAATGATCACTTCACAGGGACCTTGTGAAATTCTATTAGTGCTAATTTGAAAGATAAAAAACAAAGAATCATGTGGCAATTTAAAAACATTTTGTGGCACACACTGTTGTAGATGAAAGGGCAAACAGTTGTGCATGTGTTTATTAAGCATGTGCTTGCTGGTTCAGCTGTACAGAGCAAATGGGAGTTAACTTTTAACCATAAAAGGAGCATGCAAGGATCAGGTACCCTGTCCAACTGTCCCACCTTCCCCACCCCAGTCATTCCAGTGCTTTCAAGACTTTTTCTCTAACCTGAGAAAAATTACCTTTTTTTTTACACTGGAGCTTTAAGATAGTGATGGTTGGACAAATTTACACAGTACCCTTTGTATGCTTCCTCCCATCACTGTTTTATAGCAAACTCCCCCCCTCCCCTTTGACCCTAAGTTAAGCGTGTGAAAATGGTTTATGCTTTCATATAGCCTGAAGTGCCTGATCCTACCTAATCTTGGAAGCTAAACAAGATCAGGACTTGCTGAAATCTGGATGGGTGACTTACACTGTGAAATGCCCAGAGAGCTTCAGCTACAGACAGTATAGAAATGCTGACGACGATGACAACAGCAGCAGCATACTTTCGTTCTGAAGTAAAGTTATTTTCAGAAATCTTTTGATAAAAAGCCCAAGACAGAACAGTGAACAGTAAAACTTTATTTCATATTCCTAAGAGATACAGATTGCTGTAGTACAATAAATATTGCAATTGCAAAGAGTGATTTGGATCCAAATGAAAGTCAGTTGCATTTGGGCTTTTCTACAGCCCTGTTCCTATTTCAATTCCTATTGAAATCCACCAGACATCTCCTCTATCTTTTAATTGCCTGTTGAAAACATTTCTATTCCAGAGTCATTTTGGTGATTAATTTGGTTTTAAGAACAGGTCTTAATTTTACTGTTGCTTTTTGTGAATTGAACAACCAGATCACTCTTATAAATTGATCTTTTAAATCATTTTATTATTGTTTGTTTATAATTCTGTTGTCCAGTTTCATTCTGTTGTTTTAACTCAAACTGTATTTTAACTAATTTTATTGTTGTACCTTTGACTGTAAGCTGCCCAGAAAGTCTTTCTGGCTAAGGGTGTGGCATATAAATTCAATCAATAAATAAAATGATAATAAAATAATTGCCTATAATTTGGTTAATTGGCTAACTTTCAGATTTCATTTTTTTAAAATAGAGAACATATACCATGTAGAGAAGTAATGCTGCTTTTGCATTTTATTGTTAAAGAATACAGAACCCTTAGTGAGGCTAAAGATGCCTATGTCATGATATAGGAGTAAATGTAGTAATAACTTTGTAGTAAATGTTATATTGTGTTTGTATTGTTTTATATTGTTGAATTTTAATATGTTGTAAGTCACCCAGAGAGCCTGTGGATAATGGAGCAGCATATAGATTGAAAAAATAATAAAATATTTTTTAAAAGATATAGAAAAAAACTAAACTTTCCCTCCTTCCTTCCCTTCCCACCTTCCAAGGTTGTTAAAGCCATCTCAGACTACTATTTGCGTAAAAGAGAATGCATTCAACATTAGCATCTCTTGTGTTGACAGAATCAGCTGTCAGATGTTCCAAAGGTACAGATACTGAATGTTTCTAATCCTGAATTGGCTAAGTGAAACATTGTATATACATGTGGTTTTAAGGGATACATTTCTTCCTGAAATTTATGGCTATGTTCGCATTATATGACTGTAGAACATGCATTCTTATGCAAATAGTTGGTCACATGTAGCACAATCCTAAACATGTTTACTCAGAACCTTGAATTAAACAGATACTACTAGATAGATGTGTATGAGATTGCATCCTTAAAATCTTTGATTGCATCCTTAACAATGCCTATAAATCCAAAATCTCTGAAATACTGTTGTGCCTGCCTCCCATGCCTTCAAGAACATTTTTACCCCATATGAGAGCTTTATGAAAGATGAATTACGCATATGTGCAACAGTATTACAGGGCATGACAGAAGACTGTCCCTTGTTGAAAAACATGAGAATTAGAATTCTCATCACATAGAGCATTCTGATTCAATGAACCCTTACCCTAGTGTACAGTAACAAATTGATAATTACAGTAACACATTGATAATATGTTTCTTCAATTTCTTTGTAGATTCTGGACAATCAGGAAGTCCAAGCCACAATGATCCTGCCAAGAATCCACCAGGTAAAAATTAGTTCTAGGCCATTTTGCAGTCGAACCATGTTTGAGAACAAGGATTATACTATTAAACAGAGGATATAACTGGGCAGCAAAGTATTTTGGGCTGGCAAGGAAACCTTTAATTAAGATAAACAGCAGTTATATTAATTTTCATGAAGTGGCAAATGATATCAAGAATCCATTCATTGCAATATTTTTTTTTTTTTTTTTTGAAATCAGTGTTGCAGGGATAGGCTAACAAGCTGGATCCCAAAATATATTACTTTAGTGAAACCATATGCAGTTTTGCGATTTGGCTTGGGTAGCTAGAGGGCTGTATGAGCCTGCCCATAATTTTATATCTACATCAGATATCAAAATATTGGATGTATCAGATTGTCCAATTGTTGTATCTCCCATCTTTAAGAGAGGTGTAGTTGGTGGTTAAATTAGATGGGCTTTTTCTCTAGCAGCATCTCAGGTGAGAAACTCCCTCCCAAAAGAACTCAGCCCTATACTATCCCTAGTGAGTTTTAGATAAGCACAAAAAACAATATAGTTTCACCAAGTCTTTGGCTTTTAAAATTAATTTTAGTCTGCTTTTAAAGTTACGTTTTTGTTCTTTGTCTGTATGTTGTTGGGATTTTATTGTGCATTGCTTTGAGGGCTCTGTTGGACAGAAAACTTGTGTATAAAGTATATAATGATGTTTGTCAGGACAAAAAAAAAACATTCCTTTCAGTTTTTACCACAGACTCATAGAATAGTAAAGTTGGAAGGGGTCAAAGGACCATTGGTTCCAACCCCCTGCTCAGTGCAGAACTCCAGGTTAAACCATCCCTCTCAGATGCATCTTGAATGCCTCTTCAGCCCACAACCTCCCTAGGTAATTGGTTCCATTTTTGTACTAACAGTGAGGAAATTTTTCCTGATACCTGTCTGGAATTTCACTTCCTGTAAATTGTGCCCACTATTTCATGTCTTACACTCTGGGATGATCCAAAAGAGATCCTGGCTTTAATCTTTGTAATAGCCTTTCAAGTACTTACACAGTGTTAGCAGATCTCCCCTCAGCCTTCTCTTATCGAGGTAAAACATCCCCAGTTCTTTCAATCTCTCCTCTTACGGCTTTGTTTCCAGTCCCTGGATCATCTGTGTTGTCCTTCTCTGAACTCTCTCCAGCTTGTCTGCATCTTTCTTGAACTGTGGTGGCCAGAACACCACACAGTATCTAGATGAGGCCTCACCAGTGCTGAGTAAAGAGGAAATAGTACTTTATGTGCTTTGGAAGTTAATGTAGCCTAAAACATTTGAACTTTTGACAACCACATCACATTGTTGACTCATATTCAGCTTGTGATCTCCAACAATTCCAAGATCCTTCTCACGTGCAGTGTTGTTGAGCTAAGTACCCCCCCCCATCTTGTAATGATGCATTTGGTTTCCTTTTCCTAGGTGCAGAACTTGATATTTATCCTTACTGAATTTCATTCTGTTGTTTTCAGCCCCATGTTCCAACCTAGCAAAATCAGCTTACATCTTTTCTGTCTTCCAGGATATCAGCTAGCCCACCCAGTTTTGTGTTATCTGCAGATGTGATAATCATTCTTTGCACTTCCTCATCCAGATTGTTAATAAAAATGTTGAAGAACACTGGGCCCAGGACTAAACCCTGTGGTACCCTGCTTATTACCTCTCCCCAGTTTGAGAAGTTGCCATTGATGAGCACTTTTTGAGTCCAGTCATTTTGCAACTATGGATCTGCCTGATCATTGTTCCATCTATCCCACTTTCAGCTAATCAGGATGTCATGGGGCACTTTGTCAAAAGCTTTGCTGAAGTCAAGATATATTATGTCCACAGCATTCCACAGTCCATCAGTTAGATTACCCAGTCAAAAAATAAAATCAGAGTAGTGTGGCAGGATTTGTTCCTAATTTTGTTTAGTCTGCAATTAAGAAATTGTTCATACTTCCAGTTTTCACAAGCAGTTGCCAATTGGGAACCATCCTTAAGCTTTAACATTAGTGAAATTATTCTCTGTCTCTTTCTTTCAGTAAATGAAAGTGTAGTTGATAGTATCCAGAAGCAAATGAAGAATGAAGCAATTCAAAAAGGAGGTTTTTTTACGTACTTCAGGAAAAATACCTTGGAATCATACATATAATTATTCTAGATTATTCTAGATTTGAAAATTACTGTTAAGAACATATGAATTAAACATATGGTAGTGGGTCAGATCAGCACTGTACTTCTTCATTGACTGGCAGTGGTTATTCACATTTTCAGGAAAAGCATTTTTCCAGCTTTCCATCTAAGACCTAATACTTCTAGATTTAGATTTAATCCACTGAGGTCTGTTACTAGTTTGCAGAGGATTTCACCCGAACAATGAGCTTTCTTCCTGTCTTTCCCCAGACAGCACCCATTATGAGCGGTTTTAGAAACTCTGGATGATTTAGAAGCAGCATATGATGTGGTGGAAAGAAACAATGCAAAAGAAGCAAACAGTGAAAACTATGCTGCACACATGTGCAGTCTCTCCTTCCCTGGGTGCCTCCCTAGGTTAGAGTACTTGAGCAGATTAGTACTGTTGTGATAAACCATCCCTATTTCGTGTGCAGAAATAATTTCACAAGCTTATAATTTCTTCCTTCCAGTTCTAGCAAAACTAGCCGAATGCACACGGCATTCCACAAGCTCAAATAGCATTCATAGAACTCTGCCTAATTTGGGTTGTGTTCTCCATTTGCACTAGTTTGGAACCTAGTTTCTGCTACCAGAAAGTCATTTACGTTAGCAGAATAACATGGTTGCTATTGCACAAAAGGTAACAGTTCAGCTAAAGTGGCAGTCTTTCATCATTTTTTCTTTTGCATTCCATTTTTTATTACTTGCATAACTTTCAAGCTTATATACACAGAGAGAGAAAAGGCAGAGGAGGGAGAGTAAACAATACAACTCATCATCCATCAATATGTAACATCTCATGATCATCTTTATTCATGTGTAGATCATAATTTATGGAAGTGTATGTTAAATAGAGAGTTTGAGGCATTGAGTGGTATAGGCAAATCAATCAATCAATCAATCTATATTTTTCCTGAACTTTGGTTTTATGCTTTTCCCATCAGTCACCCTTACAAATTCTTTTAGCTTAGCCATCGCAGCCACATGCCATATTTGTTTCTGCAAGTAGGGGTAACTCCAATTGTTTCCATTTTTAAGTAGCTTAGGTTATAAAAGGGGAGATGACTAGAGCACAGGTGGAGGAAGTCTTACGATGAGTCTGATTGAACACATTTAAGAGCTCACTATTGAGCCTATTCTGTGGCAGTAAAGTGGGCAAAGCATGACTTCTTTGCCTCCTCCATTGCTTCCTCACAGTGCCATCCAGCTGAGTTATTTTGGGTAGTTCGGAGGCCCCTACAAGCTGATTTGCCAGATGAGACCCTGGAGCCCTCAATGAATTTGCTCAGCACTTTGAGGGAAAACTCACTCGGATCCATCAAGAGCTTGACTCTACTGTTTTTATATATCAATATTTGGAAGTGTCCAGTGCACCATCTTATGTTTCATCACTGGATGAGTTTCAATTGTTGCAACCTGAGGATATGGACAAGTTGCTTCACTCTGTCTGATTTACCATATTCCTGCTTGACCCGTACCTGACTTGGTCGATTGAAAGGACTATGGATAAGGTTCGGTCCTGGATACAGGAGACTGTCAATGCCTCATTGAGAGAGGGAGTGGTCCCTTCTTATTAAAGGAGACTGTGGTTAGACCATTCCTAAAAAGGCCAGGATCCAGAAACTAGATAGCTACTGTCCCATTGCCAATCTTCCATTTTTGGGCAAGGTGTTGGAACAGATGGTGGCTCGACAGCTTCAGGCACTCTTGGAGGACACAAATTATCTGGAGCAATTTCAATAGGGTTTTAGGCTTGGGTACAGGATGAAGATGGCCTTGGTTACCCAGTATGATGCCCTGTGCAGGGAGAGGGACAGGGGGCATGTGACCTTGTTGGTCCACCTTGAACTCTCAGTGGCTGTCAGCATCATCAACCATAGTGTCCTTCTGGACAGGCTGGCTGGGTTGGGAGTGGGAGGCACTGCATTGCAGAGGTTCCGCTCCTACCTGGCTGACTGTGTCCAGAAGGTGGTGCTGGGGGACAGTTGCACTGCCCCATGGCAGTCGCATCATAGGGTTCTGCAGGGCTCTGTACTGTCGCCCATGCTGTTTAATATCTATGTGAAACTTCTGGGGGAGGTCATCTGGAGGTTTGGGCTGAGGAGTCAGCAATATGCTGACGATACTCTGCTCTACCTCTCTTCCTCATCTAATTCAGGTGAGTCTGTTCCCAACTTGAGCCAAGGCCTGGGCTTGATAATGGACTGGATGAGGGTCAGTAAACTTGACACTGAATCCTGGTAAGATGGAGGTACTATTGGTGGTGGTGGGGACCTCTTAGGAGAACATTACCCTGTCCTGGATGGGGTCACATTTTTCCTAAGGGACAGGATCCACAGTCTGGGGGTGCTTCTGGACCCCAGTCTACCCCTGGGGTATCAGGTGGACTCAGTGTCTAGGAGTGCCTTTTTCCAGCTGCAGCAGATTTTCAAGTTCTGCCCCTACCTAGAAGTGGGAACCTAAAGATAGCTACGCATGCTCTGGTAACTTCCAAATAGATTATTGTAATGCACTCTATGTGGGGCTGTCCTTGAAGACAGTCCAGCAATTGCAATTAGTGCAGAATTGGGCCACTTGGTTGTGACTGGTACTTCAAGAGCAGCCCATACAACACTGGTTCTGAAAGAACTTCACTGGCTGTGGCCCAGGCCCAATTCAAGGTGCTTGCATTGACATGTAAAGCCCTAAACAGCTTGGGGGCTGGCTATCTGAAGGATTGTCTACACCCATATATACCTACTCGCCCTCTCAGATCAGCTCAGGAGGCCTTTTACAAGTGCCACCACTCAGGGGAATGAGAGGGGTGGCAGTCAGGGCCTTTTCCATTGCTGCTC